GTTCATGTTCATAATAACTTGGAATAATGAGCGTTGTTCATGTTCATAATTCATAAATTGATCTTCGAATCATGGATCGCACAAGGTTTTTAAACCAGCAATGAGTTTTCTACCCTTTAAACTTTTACTTTTTTGTTCGTTTCTTATAGATTAAAACGTGAGATTAAATCATCTATTTAGCAAGAGGGTCACTTTGGCAAATTGCATTCATTTTGAGAGCAACATCTCTTGCAAAACTTCTTTCTTTGTCTCCAAGCCGGAGAGTGTCCAAATAAATAAATGTTTATGAAATGTTTGTATGAAAAATGGGAAAAAATGGATCAAGGAAGAAGAGAAAGAAAGATAAAAAAGAAGCAAGATTAGTAAATAGGAAATAGAAGTGAGGGAATGGAATTAAAAAAGGAGAAATTGAGAAGACTAATGTTGGAGTGTTTATCGTAAATTTACTCTTCCAACTAATTTCTTGATCTTGGAAATATTTATTATCAGAGGTGGTTAACCGAGGAGATAATGACGCAGCATTAATCAGAATTAATTGCAGCATGAAGTTGTTCCATCTGTGGCATTAAGTAGATGCTTGCGTAGTTAATTGCCCGCAGAAGTCACTTGCTTGGACAAAAGCAATTTTAAATTTAGGTACTTGGCTGTCAACATGAATTAGAGGTTGCAAGAGTAAATAATACACACACACACACAAACACACACACTCAAACACAAAAACTCACAAACACATACACCCACACACACCCACCCACACACACACACACACACACAAACACACAAACAAACACAAACAAATACATACATACACACACAAAGCCTACAAAGCACAAGTACACCCAGCTCACAGCGCTTTCAAAATAACTCCTAACATCTCAGACAAAAGGGACCAATAACAGGCCGCACACACACCACGAAACACTCAAAGCGTGAAGCTAAACGGGGCAACGCCGTGGTATGACGTGCAGAAGAGTAAATATAGCGGGGAATTATCAACACATAGTTGGCGTGAGTCCTGCGGGTCACCCCCCCCCCCCCCCACTCAACGCCACCGCACCTCCCTTCCCTCTCCCCCCTCCATCACACAAGGCGTGGTTTGAACGTCGTGCGTGGAGTGGGTATAAAAGGGTGTTTTTTCTTTTTTTTTCCTTTGAGTATGTTGTTCTTTGTTGAGTTTGGTTGGATTAGATTGAGTTTGGTTGATAAACTTGGGTTGAATTTGATGAGATTAGGTTACGTGGTGTAATGTCATGATCGGTTTTATCGGGTGAGTTAAGTTAGACGAGATCAGGTTAAATTAAAGGAATACAGGGATTTGAGGGAGAAGTATGCATACGTAATATGGTATACGACAACGTGTGTAAAAATAAACGAGTTAGTGTCACCGTTACATTTAATGAACATAATGAATTGCCTGGTAAGAATAAATCCAAGAATAGTGTACATGTAAGTTAATGTTAATAGACGTCACTAAAACAAAAAAACGACGACAAGATGGTTCCACGGAGCTTAAAATATATCGACCTCTTAAAGACAAAAGCCGTTTCTAATCATCATATTTTTAGCTTCAGCCACCACGCATTCTTTGGCATTATCATCTTGTATGTATCCTCACCCATCAGGTTATGTAGAAGTAATTTTAAAGAAGTAAAGCAAAAAAATCGTAGTCTTTGATGCTGTCATACGAAAGATAAAAATGCTTTGAAATGCTCAACTCGGAATAAAATTTTGTTTCTCGCGCCAGGTGATGTTTATCTTCCAATGTTAGATTTAAATGGTGTGCAACTAAATGCAACTGTGCAAGTGCCGAGACTTATATTAGACGATATGTGTTTGTTTTTTACCGGTAGATCAAATGTTGTGTTTGGGATTTCTGAGATAATAGCGGAATATATACTTTACGTTTACGTTTTTTATTTAACTTTTTAGGATGCGTTGTTTTAATATAGTAATGTTATTCTGTAGTAATATTCTACTGCATAATACAGCATAGAGATTATCGAAAATATCATCATAATAAAATAGTGGCCACGTATGTGGATTTTTTTGGGGCATCTGTATTTTTGAAAGTTACCCCGGGAAACAAGACATACTCTCCATTTTCTTTCGGATCACTCCATTTTCTGTAATATATATAACGTTACCCCAAACTAATGAAAACGCAATAAAAACCACGCTATCGAAAATATTCAAACACCCAAATAAAATGCATATAGGGAAATGTATTATCTGGCATATGCACCCTTAGATAAATTAACACGATACCATCGCACACTATTCCAAAGCCAAAAGTAGTGTCAGACAAGATACATACAACCTATCTCCCTCCCCATCCAACCCTATCTCTCACTTAGCCTCAGTACACACACACACAAAATTACACTTCCTGTCATCCAACCATACTCGAAATAGACAGTCATTCAATCATACTCGAAATATACATAAGCAAATAAATAGATAAACAAATAAATAAATGAATAAACAATGAAGGGGTACTCAC